CAGTCCTGGGGAGCTACAAAGGGTAGCATGTTACATTCTAATAAATGTGTGCTATGTAGCCAGTTATTCATCCTGGGTGCTCATAGTGTGTTGGATTCCAAATGGATCCTCCAGTCAAATTATCTATCTGATTCTATTTGTCTATCTCTTGTCCTGTCCTGTCCTGTCCTGTCCTGTCCTGTCCTATCCATCATGGGGAATAGCCATGAGTAAGCTTGTGGTCCACGTATAACCAAGCTTGATAATCAAAATGATCCTTCAGTAGGGGCACCTTGCAAGGTTTAGTGGGAATCTGATTTTTGTTTTTTTTAAAAAGACATCCCTACAGAAAAACGGAAAAAAAGACTTGTTGAAAGGAACACACTGTCAAAAGAAAAGGAGAGGTTAAATGCTAAGAGAACAGCTTTATACTGTCATATCTCTCTTTAAATAACAACAAAAATGCTTGTAAATAGATAATGTACTAGATAAATGATTATAATAAAAAAGGTAAATGTGTTATAAAAATAACATTTAGAATCAAAGTGGCAATTGATTATAAAATAAATACTTTATAAAAGTATTAAAATTGTCATAAGAGAGAAACATTGTAAACAGCTGCAAACTCTTAAGATACACTGTGTTGGTTTGAATGGCCACTTTCTGGGAGCAGGGGATTATAAAACTGAGATGCTACCACTACCACTTTCATGAAAAATAAAAGTTTCAGATTCCTTTCCATCAATTTGGTGTGACTGAATGAACATCAGTGGCTTTTTTAAAAATGTACTTTACTTGAATAGATTGGCTAGGTAATCTAATATCTGCAAAGAAATTCCATATTTGATTATTTTTAAGTAATGTCACAATTCATCTCTCAAAGCTAAAGTACCAATAGTGGTACTTTGCATTGGTTTTCTTAAGCATCTTTTAATGTTTTAAACCTTTTTTTTCCTGGTTTCAGCTGCGATGATTGGTAAAGGGACCTATTTTGCCATCAGTTCAAACTATTCTGCGGATGATAGATACTCCACCCCAGACCTTCATGGCAAAAAATACATGTACGTTGCCCGTGTTCTGACCGGAGATTATTGTGTTGGAAGAGCAGGACAAATTACACCACCATCCAAAAATAATGGTGGGTTTGACTTATACGACAGCGTAACTGACAACATGACTCAGCCATCGATGTTTGTTATCTTTCATGATGCTCAGGCTTACCCAGAATATCTAATTACTTTTAGAAGATAAGTTAACAGGCAAAAGGTGATTTACTTTTCCTCTCCTCTTACACTAAAAGCAAGTAACTTGAATGAACCTTTTTAGAATACTTGTCACTTGAATCTTGATCCAGTAGTTGGCTTCTCTCAGAATGGCAAAGGCTAAAATAATAGTAAGATCCAGTAGAGATCAGCAAATGATGTTGAATTCAAGGTAGAGAGGGTAGAACATGAAGATTTTCTGGATAGAGAATCTACTTGGAAATGGTAAAACACTGAGCATTGCAGTCTTGAAAAAGCAATGAGGATATATGTCTAGGAATGATCTATAAAGTCTGCCTAACTTACACTAATCAGCTTTTCAAAGGGTCCGTTTCAGTTTCAGTGAAAGTCATTATGCATGGCAGATGAAAGAAAACAACGGGTGCTTTTTCTAGGGGGACACACTGCTGCTTAAAACTGCCTGTTCCAGGTCAGTATTTTCTCTAAGTAATCTTTTCTGGTGGCTCTGCCCATACTGAATTTCACCATCATGTTGCTTGTCCTGTCCCTCCACTGATTTATCTGTATTTTCCAGGAGTATTCAGCACCTATTTCTGCATGCTAGAAAATTGCATTTCCTTCTGGTGCTTAGCAAGTTATGAGCGAGAATGTATTTTTCATTTCTAGAAAAATAGTTAGCAACAACATGCGTGAATTAAATACACCTATTATTGCTTGACGGTTTGCAGGTAGTGAGAAACCAAAGCTCAGCTGTAAAGCTGGGATAGTTTGTGCTACTTTCCATCTCTGCCTTAATCTGGACTGCTTCTATACTTAGAGTATTCTGCTATGCAGTAGAGAACAGCTGGTGAGAAATGTTACTATCAAATGGCTGTTAGAACAAAAGCCAGTTGCGCTTTGTGGCATTGTGTCAGAGACTGAAAAACAGTGGATCCACCCTACAGCCATGAATTGGTCACTCCAGCTTTAGAAAGCTGGTGGCCTCTTTGAAAGGACATGGATCCCACAGAGAAGCTGTAGAACATAGTTGTTTTCAAATACTGCCCTTACTACTGCATGAAAGAGTTGCATCCAGCTGCTAAACCTCACGAGTCAGAAAGTAGGCAAAGAGCACCAGAAAGAGCCATCTTCCAACTCCAGAGGAGAAGCTGCCTCTGGTTGGTCCTCCCCACTGCCATAAAGAAATACCATACCAGAGTGATATGTCCACTCCCATCCTGCCAGAAGATGCCAGTAGTTTATTAACAAGCATTATCTTGGTCTAAGTACTGAAGTGCCTGCATTTAAAATATGTCCAAGAATTACCTCTGTCATATATTCCAATAAAGTTTGTCTGAAAAATGCACGTTGTCTTCATGCTTATTCTTACACTGCAGGAGGGATGGCGGCTATAGGGGAGTTCCACTGGTTTAAACCAGAGTTCAGTACAGATGGCCTCCCAGATATTTCAGCTCCTCAACTGGCCTTGCTGATGAGAGTTGGAGTTTGTTGGAGAGCCATCTATTGAGCATCACAGAGTTTGGGAAAGCTTGTAACCATACAGAAAACTTGAATTTGTTTCACCTTGCATTGTGCCAACAATTCTACTTTTGCATTCAATATATGTGAATCAGAGGGGTTTCCCCCACTTCCTTTTCTAATCTGATTAGGGCACAGCAGATTACTATTCTCCTGGAATCATGTCATCTAATCAGGAAAAAGAACACCTACACCAATTTGCCATGCAAGGCCTAAAGTCCTTTTTATTAAAATTACCCTTGCAGTGCCAAATACTGGACAGTTCATGGTCAAAACAAGGCATGTTTTCCCTAAATAAAAAACATTGCAGGGGGGAAATCAATTCTTAAAGTTGGAGGAGAGTGGTATAGGGGTTAAAGAGAGTGGTGGTTAATGTGCTGGACAAAGTTGGGGAGCCTCAGGTTCAAGTCCACTGATGCTGGAGAACTTTGGACGTCATTTAGTCTGAGCTATTCCATAGGGTGACCGTTGTAGGAATAACAGATCTCATGTAAATCACCTTTTGCTCTTGGAGGAAAGAGAGTTATAATTCTGGTACGTATATAACAAGTCTCTTGAACCAGAACGAATCACACTACACACAATTAGAATAAGGTTTTTATTGGTTCTAAGTAATATTTCACAATTGGCCATGGAACACTTCTCTTCCAACACATACTGGCTGAAACAAAGCAAATGAATGGTATACCATGTGGAAATCAACGATTATGCTTTCAAGCCACTGCTCTCTGGAAAGAAAAGGCTGCCCAAAATAAAAAAAAATGCATTGTTTCTCCCAAATAAAGACCTGTGAATAAGGAAGGGGAATTGTCTTGGATTAGAAAATGCCACTGAAAACAACGGGCTAGTGTGAGAAAGTTTAGTAGATAGAGTTTTAGAAACTAGTATTTTATATGAAATTAATTTTAATGGTTACTATTTCAATTATTGATTCATTTTCTCCTGAGCCTACTCTATTTTGGAATGTGGTTTCTGGGAGGTACCCACGGGGGAGGGGGGGAATCTCCAAGATCGGTTACAGCTGCAATCGGCAACCTTAAGTTGACAAAGTAGAGAAGCAAGGCACTGGCCAAGATTTTCACCTGCCCTTTCATTTATTGCCTATTCTTCCCCGTGGGGGAGGCAGGGTGCCATCTTAAATTCAGTGCCCATCTCCTTGGAGGTAAATACACTATTACTTTTCAGCCACTGAAAGGAGAGGGCAGTAAAGAAATTGCATTAAAAATGGGAAGAAGACAGTGATATAGTTCTACAATATTTTTACAGAAAGTGTCCTAGCAGCAGAATACAGGCTCCTATGTTTTACTGAAATTGGGGCATAAAAGTAACAATCTACTAAGAATATGCAAAAGTCTTTGAAGCATGAGACATCCCAGCAAGCAAGCATCCTTCCTCAGTTTGGTAGGATCATAGTTACTTCCGCTGTCTAGATCATGTCTTGGAATAGGCAATGGGAAATCAATGGGGCGACGTAGGGGAATCTCATCCGACTGGGTACGAAGCATCAACAATGTCAAATTCTTCTCAGCCACTATCCTGCTTTAAGATTGTTTTACCAGATTAGGGATACCAGATTGTCATGTAAAATACAACAGTTCTCTTTTAATTCTGAAGATTCGTAACACGCCAAGGGCACAGACAGGAATCTTGCAAAGGGAAATTACCAGCTGGGATTCAAAAAGATGTCAAACGTTGTAATCATAGAGGCTCACTATGCATCTACTCATATCTAGGGTCCTTTGACAGTAACACAACTGCAGTGAAGAAATTAATACAGTTTGGTTCTATGTAATATTTTTGGATTGCAGCTTCAGTCAAAAGCATTAATTATTTGACCTTGCATCTGTAATCCTAAATGTAACACCATTAATTCAACAAATATTCTGAATTTCATCACTTTATACTAGATAATAAGGAATTCTGCCGAAGCTAATCCTTAATAATAATTAATCTTCCTCCACCACCATGTGCTAACTTAAAATGATATATATTTAGACAAGCTAGAAACTCTGGATTGCTGGCAGACATAAAAATGCTTATTCAATTCCTTTTGCCTTCAGCTCTTCTCTAACCCGTTTCAGATAATGAGGATCAGGGTAACCAAAACTAGAGGGGAGACAAGAAAGAGACTTGGTTAAACCAAGGCAGTACTATACACAAATGTTTAATAGCAATATCCAATGCTGAACTGAACTGTTTAAAAAAATACACTTATTTAACAGGGTACTTCTGAAGTATGAGTAAGGAATAAGTCGATGTATGTAATTAGATACAGTGAGATGGGTGGTGACAAATTTGAAATATATATATATATATAAATTTCATACAAAGATCTTCCTGATTTTTACAATTTCTACTGAAAACAGCTTACCTCTATAGTTCCTTAAGAAGCACACATTATAAAGTGTGCCTGGTAGACTTCAAGAAGCTAATGAACACTTTAGAACTGATTGTTTTGAAAAAAAAAAGATTTCTAGTCATATTTTAAAACAGATTCTATTCCACTGAAGGTAACTTTAAAGAGAGAGGCTTGGGTTCAGGGTCCTCCTTTGCAGAAAGCAGGGCTCCTGATTTTAAGGGAGGTTAAGAAAATTCATGGAAGGAAAACATCCCCATCTTCTTCCAGGCTCTTTGCCTACAGGCCCTTCCCAACTCCCAGGTTCCCCCCTTCAAACAATGGGGGATAGGAAAAGGGAATTTGCTCTGAAGAAGAGGAATTCAATCAGCATCCCTGCTCTTCATCAAATTCAATCCCACCCATTCAAAACATATTTGAAACACTTTAAAGAAAAACAAACCACAGAGCAGATAAAGGGTATTCCTACTATTACTGCATGGGAAGACTGATTACCACATAGCATTAGATCAACCATTCCTAGCATACACTGTATTACAAATCCCATGATCTCAGGCAACATGGGCATTGTAATCCCATATACCTAGAGGCCACCCAACAGGGGACAGTTGTATTAGGCTGTTTCACTGACAGCAAAATATCTATTTGTGATTAAAACCAAGAAATGTTTGCTCCACTGTGCTTGGCAGCAGCTGATTTGCTGAAATGGACTTTACTAGCACTTAGTGAGTTCAAGAAAAATCAAAATTGCACGCAAAATTATATCAGAGGAAATGTACTACTATTTCTTGAAAAAAAAATAACAACAAAATGTTGAACTTACTTTCTTTGTCCTCCAGACATACAAGTTTTGTGATGAATGTCATTCCAGGTAATGACATCAGTCATACCAGTTGTTCGTGACTGGCCCACTGTGAAAATCAAATCTTGGTCAAAGGCCCGTTGCAGCAGCTTCAAAATTTCTCTTCCTTCCTTGTTGTCAGGTAAGTATGCTTTACGGCACGTTCCGAAATAACGTCTCCCTGGGTGAGGATGGCCTTCCTGGTTTGGAAACAATATCAAATATTAACATACGCCGTGTATTTCAGATTCCTTTGCAAGAGGCTAACTGTTGTGCATCTATTCTGATCTAAGTGGAAAAGATGCAGCGGAGGGGGCATGGGCATGTTTGCCTCACTTGTCAGAACCTTCTTAAAAAGCAGTGCCTTTTCCTGGCACTGACAGGGTAGAATTGCAACCCCAGGAAAATATGTGCTCGAGTTACAGAAGCATTAAGGAGGCACCAGCAGCCTTAGTGCACCCTGTCATCCTCTCCTTAACGTGAACACATATTTTCCTGGAGCTGCAAGGCTTCCTGTGAGCCCAGGAAAAGACACAGCTGCTTTAAGGAGGAGCCAAGATGTGCAACACGCTACCACTCCTCAATCAGCATCTGGCTTCCAACAATGGGCCAGCCAAATGTTTCTAGGAAAGGCTCTCAATGAATTGATAGCTCACCTTTTCTTAGCTTCAACCACAAGCAGGATCTCCCCTCTACTGAAGATATAAAAATGGACTTCCTTGCAATGTGTTTGCTTCCATTCCATTCCACCCCACTCCCACAAATAGTCTGTCTGCTGTTTGCACCAACTGACCGTGCTCAGATCTTTTTAGATGGTCAGAAAACTTCCACTGAGGAACTTGAGAGATCTGACAAAAGGTGCCCAACCCCACCTACAGTAAACTCTTGGTTTTATCTATTGATTTCTACAGTAGCTCTTGTGACTGTCCCTGGAGACGCAGAAAAATAAATTCTCAACGTGACATAGGAAATGATCCAGGTTCTAACCCACTGAAGATAATGAGTTTTCTACAAATAAACCTGTGTCCCCAACCTGGCACCAAGGACACCAGTGCCAGCAAAATATCTCAGTAATCATCAGGCTCCTGATTTTATTTCTGTAAAATCTATTTTAATTCAAAATAAATGAGAAGCTTGCCTGTCAAAAAAAAAAAAACAGCCTCAAGCAAAACCCAATAAAATATCTGGGCCCCACATAGGCTTTGCCATTTCAAGTAAATAGAAGAGTGGGGTGGTTGCAGCCAGACCTTCACCCCTATCCAAAATTGAAGCCCTCCTTCCCATAAACAGAAAGGTCTTTGGTACAAAAGGCAAACAGACTATTCAGGGAAGTGGGGTGAAATGGAGTGAAGGCAATCCCACTGCAAGGAGGCGCACCTTGAAAGGCCACCCTACAGTAAGTGGAGGATGGAGAACAATTTCATTATATCCCATAAATGGGTGCTTTGTGATTACCTATGTCTGCCATTGTTATCATTTTACAAGGGAAATGGACATCCTGTCTGAGAAAGAGCAGTACTGCTGCTCCAGACTTCTTCATGTCTATATAGAAAAATAAAAATACCCTCCCCCATCTCAGCCCTATTCAGTACCACCTCTTGGTCAGCCTTGAGTCCTGATTAATCAGTTCCGAGATGGATGACAGATTTTCTACCACGGGAGAAACAGGATTTTAATTTGTAAAACTTATTTTTCAAATCTCAGGATAACCCAATACTTTTTTTCTTGTCCATGTCAGAATAGGTTTTGGTTTTGCATATGTACAAACCAAGCCGATGAAATGATATGACAAAAAAGCTTCAACCAACTTCAAACCTTAGTTTCAAATTGCAACTCACTGTCAAAAACTGAATCATAGCTTATTGCCTAGAGTGCATTAAACTAAACTAATATAATATCTTATATTTCTATGCTTGTATTGATGGTGTGAGCTGCCTAGAATTATATGGAGGCTAAGTAGGACATAAACATTTCACAAGAAATCCCGATGGAAACATGCCATTTTATAGAACACTGCAACAGCTGTGATTGCCCAATTAGGAACCTAATCAAAGAGGCTACATTTGATTAAGAAAAGGGTTAGATCAGTGACGGCGAACCTATGACACACGTGTCAAAGGTGACACGCCATGTTTTGGGTGACACACCAGCATTCACCAACACCTGACAACTATTTTCCCTGTTACCAAAGAAACTCAGTTTGTTTTACTGATATTTCATTTTTGTAATTATTTGACATTTCTTTATATAATACATAGCACTACACATGATTGGACTGTACTTTTTTTTAAATAAATGAATATGTAAAGAATTGTTTCTCTTTTGTTCGGTGGGGGGAGGTGACATGCCAGCAGTCATTTTCTGAATTTTTGACATGCCGAGCCCAAAAGGTTCGCCATCACTGGGTTAGATGCACTTTTAGATGGGAAGGAAAACTTAACCATGGGACTCCTGAAAACTTTACAAGAGACAAGTCCAGTTTCTCACCACTTTGCCCATTCTGGATTTGCTTGTTTGTCAAACCATGCCATTTTCCAGATCCAAGCCACAATTCTTCCCTGCATAATAAGGGGCAAAATTACACACTTATGTTTTGCCCATTGGTGCAAATAGCTTCATGGTGGGCAATTTGAATTGGGAAACTAGCACAGGGAGAGAGATTAAGCCCCATCAACCACTTGTGTTAGCTTTCCTAGGATAATCGTGGTTCAGTATATTTGGCCATGGAACTCCCGCTGTCACCTCTGGCCGCAACTTCAACTCTGAGGAGACATAACGGCAGGTCAATACATACTCCACTTTAGCCTCTGCGTAGATGTTTAGAAGATAGTGAAGATTTCTAGATCTCTTGCTTTCACATTCCCAACTGAACTATTACACCATTTTCTTGGAAAGTAAGCATTTTTAAAAAATTGAAATACAAAGGGTGACTAAGTATTTCATAGGAACATCATACTGTTGCTCAAACTTACTGTCTGAACGCCATCAGGTATACTGTAAGTAATAATGATGGTTCCAAAGTCCTGATAACCAGGAAGGGAAAATTTAGCTTTGACGATGTCCATCGTCCCTGGGGGCTGATTTCCTTTTACCTTCCCATAGACGTGATTGCACACGGGGCAGACTGGTTTGTGTTTCCTTGCCTCTCTTATGCAGCCTGCACAAAATGCGTGTTTGCATTTGGGTAGCACTTCTTTCTGTTGGATTTTAGACAGGCAGATGGAACACTCCTCTTCTGGTTTGACTTCTGTTGCCTTCACTATTGGCTGCTCCTGAGAAGGACTTTGCTGCTTTTTGTAATGACTTTGTGTCTCAAAAGATGCACCTGCAGCAACGTCAACACTGGAACTAGCAATGGCTGTTGCTTCACTATTTACAGCTACAGATTCCTCAATATTCAGAGACTTCATGATGTGCTTCTCAGCAGAACATACATGTTCAGGAAGACCAGAAAGGATCAGGGAATTTTCATGTTGAGACAGTTGTACTGTGGGATATTCATTTTGGAAAGATGGAAATAAATCCTTCAGCTTTCTTTTCCCATCTGCCTTAAGTTTCAAGGGAATTTCTTTTTTACATGGCTGTTCTAAAATCTTCAGATATATAAACTGGAAATGCTCATAAGCATGTGAAGACTGATCCGAAGATGCATGTGACTGGGGCATAAAAATGATACATGTTAACTGACCATCACGACAGCTTCTTACCTCCATTCTAGTACAATATTTATGGTTTATCAATGCAATTTCTTGACTTAACTTTGTTTTCAGAAATTCAAATACGGCAGAGGCAACTTCAATGCCAGTTCTCTGTAAGTGGGGATCATTTTTTTTACTCCAGTTCTTTGCTGCCATTTCTTCTAACAATGCCTTTGCAGCTGAAACTTCCTTTGCGGGGCCTTGAAGAACAACTGTATCCTTGTGTTTTTTAATAATAATATTTTTGCATTTGCTTTTTATCATCTCACATGCATGGCTCTCAATGAAAGGAACTATTTCCTGTTTTAGATCTCCTGCTACTTTCTGGAAAAGCGAGACAAAATCCTGCTGAGCTTTCTTCATAGAATCTGGGTTTCCCATTGAAGCAAACCAGACAGAAGTCATTCCATTCTCACTGTTGTTTGTGGTTAGCTTCACACTGAACTTCTCCTCTAGTTCTTCAATTTGTTCCTTGTAGGCTTGTCTAAAATATTCAAAGATACCTGAAGGAACTTCCATGCTGGCCAGTTCTTCTAAATCATCCCTATATTTTCTGTTGCGGTCTCCCTTTCCTTCGCTCCAATTGTCCTGCTTTTTAGGCTGTGAAAATTCACTGCTACGATGGTCTCCAAGGAGTTTCTCAAAATGACGGTGTAACATTTCAATATCCTCATAATCTCCCACCACCTTTTCAACACTAAGATGATTTGAGCATCTCTCTATTTTTAAGGTGGGACATACAGCAGTCACCTGATTTCTCTCCTCTAGAGTGAGCAAGTCAGTATTCAGGGTGGCAGATACCTCAAGAAATATCTGAAAAGAAATGGGGGGGGGAAGCACATAAGAAATGTGAACCAATACAATAACAATGGTGCACCAGATTTAACATAAAAGTCCATTTTCTACAGCGAAGACTTCCAATGTGAGATATCTCCCTCCTTCTTGCTACTTCTTCACTCTCTGGTATCAGCCTATTCCTTGGAAACATGGAGAGGAGGCTTCTAAGAAACAAGTGGTCCAAGCACAGCCAATATAATCACCTACACTTGGGGTTTTAAGGAGGCCTAAAGGCTAATAAATATTGCAAGTTAACAAATGTATAAAAAGGGGGAAGTCAGAAACTTAATAGCTTTAAAAAAAATTTTCTTTTTTACTTTTTTGAATTTGTTAAACTTGTTTTGTTCATCTATATTTCCTTCTATTAACATATGTAAACACACACACACACACAGAGTTATACCAAATAACAATACAATGGGGATATCAGTATCAAGTAATTTAGCCTATGACCAAAATCTTCATTATATAACAAATACCTTGATGTATGCTCTTTACTTTTTCTTTACTTCTTGCTTTCCAATGTTATACTTTGGACAAAAAAGCCAATAATCATAATGCTTGTAACACTGATAACTTAAATTGTAACTAATAATAAAAGAATATCCACCTTTCTCTAAGTTATCTAAATAATGGAATGTTAAGAATTTAAGTATATTACATAAATATCATTGTATTGAAATAATATTGTATCAAGATTTATACTACCACAATAAAAAGGAAAAAAGAAAGAAGAAACAAATGCCCTTTCCCCCTCATTTCCTCTTTGCTTGGATAGCCCCACCAAAAATATTTCCACCTTCCCCCATTCACTAGGGGTAGTTGGGAGGAGCAGACGTGCTCCAAAGGCCATCATTTTGCTGGTAAACATACAATCACCTCCAGGGACTCTGGTATGTGGAATGCCACACACTGCAATATTCTTTGTAAATGGCAGAGAGCAAGCTTGGGTTTTGGAAAAAGTGAATAAGGGAGAAGGCTTTCAGTATTTCCATATGTGGGATGGGGTTTCTTAGCTGTTCAGATCAATTTAGAAGGACAAGATCATCAAAATAACAAGTGTGATTAATGTAAAATATTTAACGTAACAACAATCATCCACAGAGGAAAAAACCAGCTATAAATTTGATGTAATGGTAAATATCTTAAGCTCTTCTAAAGCTCAGTAAAAAGACAGATCTTTCCATTTAGGAAAGAGAGTTTTGGAACCATTACTGAGAAAAACATTCCACTGCTGTTTGAGTGGAAGAGTTATTTATTTATTTCAAATTTGGTCACTGCCCATCTCTCTAGAAAGTTATGGCCTTGCAGATATGTAGGGCAGATCAACAGTTTTCAATTTTGTGAAATCAATAGATGTTTGGAAAAGTAACAGCAACATTCAGAGGTAGGCTCCCAAGCAGCTGCTGATTTCATACTCTATAATATTATATAACATTATATAGGTATGCATATAGAGATGTACAGTACTGTGCAAAAGTTTCAGGCAGGTGTGAAAAAATGCTGTAAAGAATGCTTTCAAAAATATATATTGTAATTGTTTATGTTTATCAATTTACAAAATGCAAAGTGAGCAAACAGAAGAAAAACCCAAATCAAATCAATATCTGGTTTGACTACCCTTTGACTTCAAAACAGCATTAATTCTTCTAGGTACACTTGCACACCGTTTTTGAAGGAACCTGGCAGGTAGGTCAAGTTCTTGGAGAACTAACCACAGATCTCCTCTGGATGTAGGCTGCCTCAAATCCTTCTGTCTCTTCATGGAATCCCAGACAGACTCGATGATGTTGAGATCAGGGCTCTGTGGGAGCAAAACCATA